ATATATATATATATATATATATATATATATATATATATATATAGTATATGTTTTATGAGAAGTTGTTAAATAATGTTTAAACATTATCACTTACCAGCATCTGACAAGCAGTTGATTTTTCTTCCAGTCCTGCAGTTTTAATACCAAAACTTTGCTGGTCTCCAAGGTTCACAAACTCCCAACCATCATCATCACTCATATTCTCCATGTCTTGGGCTATTACAGAGAAAAAAACAAGTTCATGTTAAAATTAGTAACAAAGAATAATTTTACAATTGCTGTCTTCATGAAGACACCTACTATCTAAAAGGGCTACTTCAGGCTTAATTGAAGCTGTCTTCATTAAAGGCCCCATAACCACTGGAAGGTATTGCTGAAATTCTTTTCCAAGGATTTTGCACATTCTGGCCCATGCTGAGATCATGTAAGAGATCTGGGGGGAAAGTGAAAAATTAAATTAATTTTAAAAACAATAGGTAAGTAAGACATAAAGTAATTTCCGATTTCATAGAACTAATGTTTCATATTCATGGCTCTTTAGGCATTTTCTAAGGTCATAAACTTAAAATGCTCAGAAATATTAACAAAATCACTGTGAACCTCTACACTGGAATATAGTCACAGCAGGTGAAGCAATACAGAAAGACCAGGATCATATCTATTTTTCTACTTTCAAGAAGCAACATACAGTTTTCTCTACTATTGTCTGAATCACATAAATAAAACCTACTTAAACTCCTAGGCACTATTTTTTTTTTAAGGTAGACACATTTTATTTGACTTTGTATCCCTACTGCCTAGTATCCCATCCATTAAACATTAACACTCAAGAAACAAAACATCCCTTTCTCCTAGACCAGTGATGGCAAACCTATGACACGCGTGTCAGAGGTGACATGCGAACTCATTTTTTTGGTTGATTTTTCTTTGTCAAATGGCATATAAATATATAAAATAAATATCAAAAATATAAGTCTTTGTTTTACTATGGTTGCAAATATCAAAAAATTTTTATATGTGACCCGGCACCAGAGTTAAGTTAGGGTTTTTCAAAATGCTGACACGCCGAGCTCAAAAGGTTCGCCATCACTGTCCTAGATGTTGTAATTTTCTGTGTAAGTGGCTGGTCTATTTGACACCTCTTCTACTACTGTATTTACATAGTCTTACTTACCTATAGTTTTAATTCATCATCCCTGTAACCCAGAAAGTGATTTTTTTTTTTACTCCCTTATATCTATCTATATATCTATCTCACAAATTGTTTCCCACTCCTAATTTAAAAAAACAAAACAAAAACCTAATTTTGAGTGTAAGGGAAATAATTATAATGTGGCTGTGTAAAGCCAAAATTTAATCCAACTATTTATTGAGTGCCTGTTATGTTAGGCCAGTGGTTCTTAACCTTCCTAATGCCATGACCCTTTAATACAGTTCCTCATGTTGTGGTGACTCCCAATTTCATTGTTATGAACTGAACATAGTTAAAGCATAGTGATTAATCAAACAAACAGTATGTAGTTATATATGTGTTTTCCGATGGTCTTAGGCAACCCGTGAAAGGGTCGTTCGACCTCCAAAGGGGTCGCGACCCACAGGTTGAGAACCGCTGTGTTAGGCATTCAGAGTACAATTAAGATTAGGATGGACAATTACAATTATTACAACAGTGTCATAAGTATCCACCATTGAAACTGGTACTGGATGTGCAATATAAGCAGGAGTTAGCCAGGTTAAGTGGGGGAAGGGTTCTTTCTAAGTTAAAGAAATGTTTGTTTATTCATAGGCAGATAGAAGAGAGCATGGCATGTTCTAAGATTGTTAGGTTTCTGCATTTCTTTTGACAGGGAGGGGAATTCATGTGGCATTCAAAGGATTAGGAGACATCCAAATAGAGATGTCTAGTAAGTGTTTGGATAAATGAAGCCCAAATTCAGAGAAAGATCTGGAAGTCACAAGTATATATAGGAGAATTGAGGCCATGATTGTGAATGACACTGCTCGAGGGGAGTGAGGAGAAAAGAAGGCCTAGGACAGATCCTCAAGAGCATCAAAATATTGAGAGTCGAGAAGAAGGAGCAACTACAGCAAATTGAGAAAAAGTAAAAATTCAATTCAAACTATTTAAGTGCCTATTTTATGTTAGGCACTGTGAATACTATTATGAGAAATTGAAGTCAAACCAGTGAAGAATGGCTCTGAAACCTGTGGTTAATATTGCTCAGGAAACCTATTATTCCATTATTTTTTTTAAAAAGTACATTTAACCTTGCACTAGATGAAACTCCTAAATCGATTAGGATGGAACATATTGAGGCTGCTTTACCTGAGGATCATCATCTTCCATATCACTGAAGTCTGTCTGGGTCTTCAGCAACAGCTGCATCACATCCGATGCATCTTGCATGAACTAGAAAAAAATATTTAAGAAAAACAACAACAATATGACTCTTGTATATCAAATCAGAGAGGCACTTAATGTTTCTTGTATAGTAACAAAACTTGCCCAAAAGATCTATTACATTTCCCATATCGGTTATAACCCCTCAGATAAAAGTATTATGTTGAAAAATTTTCACCATATTGCAAGACTTAGTGTTCTTTCTAGAAAAATATATTCTGCTAAAGTCAAAGTAAACTGGAGTATAAAAATATTTCTAATGGCATCAAATTTTGGTCTGTGGCTTATGCATTTCCAGCAGTAAAATGATAATCCAAATCCAGAAAGAAAATTTTGGATTGCTCCATAGACCTCTATGATTTTCATTTAACTGTGGTTCTGGTAATCTCTATTGTATAAACAGGCAGTGTTTCAAAAATACTTGAAAGCCAGATATATAGAGTATGTAACATAAAAATGTTTTACTGGTTAGCTTCTCGGTATCCCACAGAAAACAATTTATAAGGTAAGTTAATACTGATGCTGGTTTTAGAGACCACAGTGAGGGGTTCTATGTTGGTAGTTCTGAGAATCAGAACACGAGGGGTCAATGACAGAATTTCTTTTGGATTAGCTTTGACAACTGAGCTGCTGGCTGTGAAGAAAAAACACAATGGCCAATGCTCCTTGGTAACTATATTCTGAAAAGCTATATATACAAAGATTTCTCTTTTAGGACACCTGATATATACACACACACACACACACGATTGGCTGCCTCCTGCATGCCCCCTACTGGGGATCGAGCCTGACACCTGGGCATGTGCCCTTGACTGGAATCAACCCGGTTACCCTTCAGTCTGCAGGCTGATGCTCTATCCACAGAGCCAAATAGGCTAGGGCTACCCGATGTTTTTAAGTGAACAGGAAAGCAACTGGAATGTTTCCAAGCAAATAGTTAAATGAGTGAAACTAAACATGCATCTGAACTCCACATGCTCCAGAGACAGACTGTACATGTGGTAAGAAAGGGGGAGGTCTCAAGAGCATAGCTTGAATTAAGAACCTTAAATATTAACAATGAAAAAATGAAGGCAACAACTTATTTATATATAAAATGAGAATAATGTGAGAGTAAGCTGATGGGAGAAAAAAAAAGCACCCAGAAAACCACTTACCAGAAGGAAAAAACCCTCTTGCACCCTCAATGCCTCCACAGACAAATTATAGTAAATTCAACATACTACAAATTACTTACCTTTTCCTTCCCAACAGCCAGACCAATGAGACTGATGCATTCAATAGTTTTTCCTCTGAGAAGTCTAAGTTCCTTTTGAACTGCATTCTCAACAATGTGCTTTAATGATGGCATAAATAAGTCATAGTAGGGGACAAACTTTTCCTCTGCAGTATCTGCAACTGATGCGATAGATGTCACAACTTGTTCCAAAACTAGCTTGGTGCCTTTTTGAATCAACTAGGAGAAGGAAGATATACAAAATATATTACAGAAATGAGAAATTGGAAGAAAAACTCCAAGTTTCCAAATGCTTTTCTGAAATAGCAAGATGAAACTACTCTTCAGCAGCCAGAGTGAAGGTAATGGGTTTTAGAGCAAATTTAAGAATCCCTGTTGAACTATTTATGTGGGATATCTCTCTTCAGTTACTATAGGCCTCCTTAATCATTTTTGCTTTATCTCACAGCACAGCAAGTCCTTGAGCACAAGTTTGCCATCAAGTAAATGCCTATCCTCCTTATTCATTTTTCTTCATTTATTCCCACTTACTATATATTTTGGGTTGTCCTACTACATCAAGGAGGAAATTCCCTTTTTGTTCTATACCTTTATCTTCTAATAGGATTCTTCTGAGAAGATACATTAATGATGCTACTGGTGCCCTCTTTTTCACTCACTTCTGTCTTCGATGTGATGATCATCCTTTCTCCTGCATCAGAGATCTACGATATTCTCTGCCCTAGCCAGTAATGAATACTAAGTGGGTATTTGAAGCTGGGCTCATGCCGTCACCTGGTAATATTATACTTCCTTGTGGATTCACATGAATACTTGCCCTAGTAACTACACCTCGATTTTCTTCTTTCTCCCCCTCTACTACAACCACACTCTCAAAAGAGCTCCTCACTTGTACTGAGTTCCAGCACAACTTTAAGAGGTTAATTTATTCCCCCCTCCTTCTGTATCTCAGCATCTGCTCCATATTTAATGTTTAAGAAGAAACATCCTTTTCCCTTGGTTACCCTCTTTTCATAAAACTCTTGCTCACATAATTTATCCTCCTCTCCTTTCTATCTTAGCAACGACTTCCTTCAATCTGTATCTTACACATTGCCCCTCTGCAGGAAGGGGAGGGAAATATACAGACGCTCTTGCTCTTCACACTTCAGCCTAAAATCACATTTGATTCATCTATTCCTGACTTAACCAGCCAAATAATCTGCCTTCAACCTGGGTCTACATCTTTGTCTTCAGATACTCATGTTCCTACTCTGCTTATCAAATGGATGTATCATATGGTATATCCTTTTTGTTGCAAATTGATTTCTTTGCCTTCTGAGACATTGTATCTCTTTTAAAAATTAAATTTATTGTGGTGACATTGGTTAATCAAGTCATGTAGATTTCAGGCATACAATTCTCTAATACATCATCTGTATATTTTAATTGTGTATTTACCACCCTAAGTCTAGTCTCCTTCCTTCACCATTTATCCCCCCCTTTCCCTCTGGTAATCACTATACTGTTGTTTGTGGCTATGAGTTGTTGGTTTGTTTTTTTTTTGCTTATCTTGTTCTTGTTCTTTAGCCTGTATTCTCCTGTTCTTCTTTAGACCAGTGCTATGCAGGAGTGTGGTTTGTGAACTTGTCTGTTACTAGTTCATATTAGAGTGTTAGAAACTTTTACAGCAATCTGACAGCAACTTAATATCTGTTAAATATAACAGTAAAAAAAAGCTTTTATGTCCTTTTTATTTATTTCATTTTTATAGTAGCAATTTGTTTTCACTATATTTGACAACTGAGACTCAATCTTTGCTTCTCTCTCTTTTTGTTAATTCTCACCTGAGGATATATTTTTGATTTTTAGAGAGTGGAAGGGAGAGGGAGAGACAGAGAGAAACATCATTGGTTGCCTCTTGCATAATCTCTGACCAGGGTCGAGGAACCTGCAACCAAGGAACGTGCCCTTGACTGGAATTGAACCTGGGACCCTTCAGTCCACAGGCTGATGCTCTATCCAATGACCCAAACTGGCTAGGCCAATCTTTGCTTCTCTTACTTGCATCTTTCCTTCCACACACTGCTGTACTAACACCATTTAATTGTTTGTAGGCTGCCTCTCTTACTTAACCGATAACTAGAAACCATCTTCTTTTTGAATGGCCAGGTCTTATTTTAAAAACAACACACTTAAAGCAAAAGAAAATTTCTTTTCCACATCTCTATTTCTGTGACCTGGTTTAGGAGATCAATTTTTTACGTCCTTCTCTTTCATCTTTTGAAATTCAAACTGGCAGAAAAAAACTGTGCATGCTTCCCGAGAAATGTCTTTTAGTCACCTCCCCTCTGCCCTCCAATTTCCACTGTTACTATCCAAGCTCCCTGAACAATGATCATGATGCTCTTGCCTTAAATCATCTCCCTTTTTAGTCCCACAATGCTACTTTAATTTCATAAAATCATATTATCATGATTCCTTAGAGCAATTACAAACATAAATTGGTTCCTCCAAATTTACCTAAATTAGAGTTAAAAAATAACTGCCTTGTTTTCAAGACAATTCATATAATGATTTTACCTAACCTTTAGGGTGTATCTTCCCTAGTCCTCAAACTGGATCATTCTCTGGTCAGGCCTATAATGTCCTCCTAACTTTCTATTCTTCTTTTTTTTAAATAACTTTAAAAAAATGTTTTGAAATTGATTTTTAGAGAGGGGAAGAAAGAGGGATAGAGGGATAGAAAAATCAATGAAAGAAAAACATCATCATTGACTGCCTCCTGCACTCCCCCTAACTGGGAATTGAGCTTGCAACCCAGGCATGTGCCCTGACGGGGAATTGAACCAGTGACCTCTTGGTTCCTGGGTCAGTGCCCAACCACTGAACCACACTGGCCAGGCCTTTCTATTCTTTTCTTTTTTTAAAAATATATTCTATTGATTTCTTACAGAGAGGAAGGGAGAAGGATGGAGAGTTAGAAACATCGATGAGAGAGAAACATTGATCAGCTGCCTCCTGCACACTCCCTACTGGGTATGTGCCCGCAACCAAGGTACATGCCTCTGACTGGAATCGAACCTGGGACCCTTGAGTCCGCAGGCCAACGCTCTATCCACTGAGCCAAATCGGTTAGGGCTCACTTTCTATTCTTGACTGCCATGCCGAAGAGCCCCCCTGTTCAAATTAATCTAAATTAACATCTAAGTAGGGGAGTTAAACATCTTAAAATTTACCTCCTGAAGTTTAAGTACCATGATGGAATGTAGATGTTTCACCAAATTATCCAAATATGGAATAAGCAGTGACTTGGGGCAGTCCTCAGTAAAGTTAATGAGAGCGGCAGCGGCATGGGCCTGCACTCGTTGATTGCCTTGGTCTTCCATGGTCTGTAGCAGAGCCGCAATCACCTGTGGAAGCAAATCACATAAGCATATATTTTGAAAAGTCACCCTTCTTCTTAAAGTTTGAGTGTTTGAGGACTTGTTGCTTACCTTCTCATGGAATTTCTTTTGGAAACCAGGAGCAAAATCTGTAGCCATCTGTCCAACAGCATTACAGGCTGCATACCTCACTCTTGGATGCTGCAATATACTCCTTGGTATTAGTAAAGGCTTTCTATTTCCCATTTGAAAATACAGTAATAATTGTGAACCAAACAGTTATTCGTACTTACAGGATCCTGAAGAAAAAGCAAAACAAAATTTACAATCTCATTTAGAATTCCTTCCATTTGCTGGTGGCATCCTTCACCAATGGCGGATAAAGCCATTAATCCTGCATGTCGATATTTCCAGTCAGCTACAGAGAAAGAATTGCAAATAAAGAACAGCAATGAGACACTACAAACATGTCATTCTATCACAAGTATTAAAGTTCTCCTTACTCTGGAAAAGAGTAATGAAATATTTTTATACATTTATTAGTTTAAAAAATGGATAGAAAAAGTACCTGACTGGATTATTTCATTGTAATAGTGTCACACAAGCATTTCCATGCCAAAAGTTAAAAGGCAATATAGAAGCAAAGAGCTTATCAGTATGTATAAACTACTTAAAATAAGAGACTTTTCCTCTGATATTATAAGCAATAAATGTCTGGATCTTCTGTCACACACTGCTGCTTACTTAATACAGATTAGATGATTTCCAAAAGAAAAAAAAACAAACCCAAAAAGAAAAATGTGCTACTTTTAAAGAATTTTATTTAGTAATATGGTAAATGAATATGGGTGAGTCTTATTTGTATTCTAACATAATAATGTATATTTGCTTTTTTATTAACAGAACTAGTGGCCTGGTGCATGAAATTCGTGCACGGGTGGGTGTGTCCCTCAGCCTGGCCCGCACCCTCTCCATCTGGGACATCCCTCTTACATCCAGGACTGCTGGCTCCTAACCACTCACCTGCCTGCCTGCTGATCACCCCTACACTCTGCTGCTGATCCACCCCCCCCCCCCCCCCCCCCCCCCCCCCCGTCTGCTCGCCCCTAACTGCCTCAGCCCCGGCACCATGGCTTTGTCCGGAAAGTCTCCCAGTCTAATTAGCATATTACCCTTTTATTAGTATAGATATTCGCTAAGCAATGTTTATTTTTTACTAGACTTCACATCCTATTCTAGTATGTAATTTCCCTCTTATGTCTAAAATTCCTTCAAGAACAAAACAAGATACACATAAATATAAGGTAGAGCAAAAGTAGGTTTACAGTTGTGAATATGCATAACAGTTTATTCTTGTATTATTTATTAATTACTGTAGTCTGCCCATGAATTCAGCTAAGGCATCTAAAAATATTTATAAAATAGCAAAAAAGACATTCTTTTAACATTTTTTTGTTTTAGGAGTCATTCTTCACAAAAATGTTATTTCTAGTAATGTATAATGTGTTTATTATTTTTAAATAAAGATTTTTAATATTTGTTTTAATTTCTAATACAAATGGATATAATCCACATAAAGAAAAGAGCTCTGGAAATCTCGGTAATTTTTAAGAATGTGAAGGCATCCTGAGAAGAGAAAAGTTTAAGAACTGCTGGCATAAGGGTTAAACCACATTATAGAAAAATCCTAAAATATTTCATACTAAATTTTTCACTTTGGGGAGCCTGAAACCTATGTAAAGATGAACTCTGTTGTAACTAATTCTACTGTAAAAATTTTCTGAAAAATGCTAATGTTTATGTTAAGTATTAAAACTTTATCACTTATAAAGTTGTATGTTTTTAATGTGTTCAATTACTCAATATATCAGTAAACCAAAAATGAGTCAACTGAGGAATAATAATCCTAGGAAACCAATATATCAATATCATATACTAATCTTTGCATACTGTACTTACTAATTAAAATTAAAGGAATGCAATAAATACTGATATAGAAATATATCTATACTTGATTCAGAGATATGACACATACATTCTCAATGTGCAGTGTCTGGAAGAATGTTGAGCAAATGAGATGGCATGGTATGGGGATTTGGAAATGGTTTTTCTTCTCTGAATTTTAAGATTTAAAAAATTTTGCAGTTCATTATTTAAAGCAAAGACAACAAAACTTTTGAAAAATAAAGTGGAGTATATGTTACTAAGAAATATATACCATTTGCCATTGTTAAAGCACTTTTCACATAAATTAAATACAGCTTTGGATTCTAACCGTAATCCTGGATATAGGGCAAGCCTCATTTTCCAGTTTTATACACAATAAAGGTGCAAAAGACTTGCTCAAAGTCATACATTCAGCAGTAACAAATCTTTATGCGTCCATTGCCATACAAGTAAAGTCTTCTTTACTAGCTAGTACGTTGTAGCAGGAATTTAAAGGTCAAATTCTTTAACTGCAAATCACAAAACCACATCCACAACAAAATGATCAGAATAGTGTGAATCAATGGAAAAACACTGTTAGCTGGTTGGCCTTGTGTAAAATGTCTCTGGGCTTTACTTTCATCTTAAAATGAAAGGGCTAGATTCTTTCTAGCAGCTCTTAGAGGTTGAGCAATCTGTGATGCTATCTGTCCCTATCCTTTTGTGAAAAACGCTAAAAAAAAATGCAGAGGATTACCCTGGCTGGTTTGGCTCAATGGATAAAGCATTGGGCCTGTGGACCAAAGGGTCCCGGGTTTGAGTCCGGTCAAGGACATGTATCTTGGTTGCAGGTTCCTTCCCAGCCTGGGCCCTGATTGGGCCCTGTGCAGAAATCGATGTATTTCTATGTTTCTGTCTTTCCCTCTCTCTAAAAGATCAATAGAAAAGTATCCTCGGGTGAGGATTAACCAACCCGCCCCCCCAACACAAAAAATTCAAGGGATTAAAAAAGGGGGAAAATTATTATTCAAGACCCAAATGTAAAACCACATCATTAAAAAGGGATCATGATTTTGAGCAATGCCTTTCAGGATAAATAAGAATCTTATAGAATAAGAAGGAGTGAGGTAAACAGCCTAAGGGCTAGCTAGAGTTCTTAATAATTCACTTTCATTTGAAGCTGGTATTATAACTCTGTTTTACTACTTTAAGATCCCGAATCAATGGTTTGCCCCTCAACTTTGTCTCCTATAATGTACTCTATAAATGAAATATTCATACAAGCAAACCAGAATTTCTGTACAAGTGTATGCAGTACCATTATTTTAATCAACAAAAACTGTTAACATTCAGTGGGGAAGTGTGGAATGCTATGTGCTGTTAAACAAATAAGGGAGGCTATTGTGTGGTGATATACTGTACTGTGCAGCAAAAGCTTAAGGTAAGTATGGTGAGTCTGTATGGTATAGTCACATTCCAAAACTGCCCCCTGCCAATATGCACAGATAAAGAGAAAAAAAATGGAAATGCTAAGAGAGGCAAATAAAACACTCTCAGAGACTTTTTAATAGTGGCCACCTCTGAATCTAAGGTAAGGGACTTTTAGTAATACATTTCTGTATTTGAATTAAAAAAAAATTTCAAACACGTTTACTTTGTAATTAAAAAGACAAAAACACCCCCACAAAAAAACATGTACACAATGTTTGGTATTGATATGACCAAATATTTATTGGGAAATACTAGATAGCTTTGAAAATAAAAGATATTGGCTGAAGGGAGATTATATAAATCAAATATGTCTCATAAAATTTTATGAATCAAATGTTTCATAAATAGTCAAATAATATCATTTTAGTTAAATTCAAATCTAGATGTTTCTGGCTAAAGAGAAAACTAAATTTTTCTTAGAATTAATATTTTTTTTCCTATACAATTAGGCCAATTCTGAGGAGAATTGAGTATTTTTAATTGTGAGGAAAAATATTCTTTGGCTTAAGACTGAATGGCCCCAAAGACAACTAAATAGAATTTTATCAACATAATGTAAAAATCAGGTTAAACACAGAATATAAAAAGGCAAAGATTAATTTTTAGACACAGTCTAAGCATTTGTTATAGTTTCTGACTTAGAAAGCAACTTTCCATTATTCTAGCATTTGAAAGAGAGAGCTTACGATTTTGAAGCATCTGCATAATGTGTTCCTTGATCATGGGCAAAACGAGCTTTCCTCCAAGTCCACAAGCCATTCGGTCCAAAGCACTTTCACCAGCAACTGCATTGCTGCACAAAACAGCATGTAATGTACTCAACATATTCAAAATACACAAGAATAGTATACTATACAGACATATTTCTAAACGTGGATTGTTATTAAACTAGGATTGAAAAAGAATAAATCAAGCAGACTTCTGAATGTATATAGTAAGTTTGAGTTAAAAACCCTAGAGTTAAAAAAGGGGAGGGAGGCAAATAAACTATGATTCACCGTAGTTTAAAAAGTCCTATGTCCAAATCTTATTTTTCAAGGCTTTCCCCTTTCTCTCTCTTTACATGCACACACCCCACACTGGCTAACACTTAGCTTCTGATACTTTCAAGATGCAGAAGTGTGTGCAGAGCATTTAGGAGAACTTGCATTTCTCATTTCCTGGACATATATCCTTCAAAATAATCAGTGAACAGAACATAGAAAACTGAAAGGGGGCTGAGACTGTACATGATTTTCTCCTCACTGTGAACTTATTTATTTACCTTTAAAGGGGTATAAATTGCATTGCCAAAAATTATGTGTAAGTGAAACTCCATTCCAGTGTTTTCACTGAAAACTGAAGAAAACCAGGCATAAAAGCCTTTGTACTGTCTTATAATTCTAAGATCAGCAGTGAGTTTGTCATGTGCATAATCTTTAGCTGTTCTGAAAATATGACATACAGAGGTGGGCAAAAGTAGCTTTACAGTTGTTTGTATGGAAAACAATACAGTAATTAATAAGTAATAATGTAGAATAAACTGTTTTGCATACTCACAACTATAAACCTACTTTTGTCCCCACATGTGTACAAAGAAAAGGCTACAAACTATCTTTAGAACAGGTTCTTAGACTTAAACTGATTTGAAAATAAATATATGGCCATTTATTCTCAGATAAGAAAAGCTTATTTACCTAGTCCAGAAAAAGACAGCTTCATAAACCATATAAATTCAAGGGCCTTTTACAGGGCAAATTCCAGGCCAGGTAGCAGCACATTAGAGTAATTTGAACCAGGGAAAGAAAACCTGATCTGAGCCCTATCTTTTCTTCAGCCCTGTTAGGTTATTTCCAGTGAAGGACTACTTTCATACACTCCAACACAGTCTTTTAAGTCAGAAGTCAGTCATTTTTAATAATGGGAGTTAGCCTCAGAAACCACCATATATTCTATAAGGCAAATGTCTTTCATTTCTAGTATTGTTATAGTAGCTTATACCAACTGCTAGCCTTTCTGGGAATAATTTCAGTTCTTTTTAAGAATCAGAGATAGTATGATACCCTGGGAAGACTAAGAGAAATGGTATTACAGCCCAGTCTACTAACTGGCTATGCAATATTGAGCAAATCACTCAACCTTTTCTCTCCGTTCTGTAGCTATAATATACCTTTAAGACTACTGAAAGAATCAAATTAACAGATTTCTGAAGTGCTGTTTCATGTACATGCAAGGAGCCATCATCACTATTGGGACAGTGAATATAGATTTCGGTTGACTTTTCCATAGGAATCTGTATTCATGGGGGTCTCCTAAGTCACAGCACATAAAACAGCAATTTCAGTGTTATGTCACCTAGTGTACAGATTTCACCACCGTCTCCTCTGTAGCCTCAAGTTAGAGTGTAGATTAGGAAAATATGAAGCTTCACAGGGAACTGTGGTGAAATAACCATTCTAAATGAAGACTATGCCTATAAAGGAATTTATCACAATAAAGTTTCTTTATACATATTTTAAAAACATACTCAAAATAAAAAATCTTGAAGAAGTTTTAAAGATGGGGTAGAAAAGATAGCTACTTTATTTAAAATATTTACAAAATCGGATGCAGAAATGCATACAACAAGATACCTAAGTGTCCCATATTCCAAACTTAAAAGTTTAACTTCAAATTATGGAATACAGTGGTAGAAAGGTGGGGGCCTCATAAGCCTAAAGCTCTCATTGTCAACTGATGTTGCTCTATCCTGTCAAGGAGGAACCTTTATACAGTATTTATTGTGTATGATTACCTGTCAAAATCATCATCTTCTAGTTCATCCGCATTTGCCCAGTCCTCATCCTCTTCTAGATCAACCATCATTGCTAACATCTGAGGAACTAAAGGAAATAATTTCATATCTGAAGACCATGGCTTTTTTTTATTTTGTCAATATCATCATTTACAAACAAGAATCTCACTAAGTAAAAAATGAAGGACTTACTTTGCATCTTAGAGAGCGAGACAAAAAAATTTATTTGCCTGTGCGCCTAACACCCATTTTTAATTTTAACCATTTGTGGGTTTTGTAGTTTTTTGGGGGGCCACATTTGCTTTACATCTTCTTAAGAAGTACATTAAGAATTAAAGTCAAACTTCACAAATCCTATTGCATTCTCTCCCTTCCTCACCACCAGAAGTGAGCTCCATAATAAAAAATCAAATGTTTCCATTCCCAAACTGTTTTTACACTTGAACTACAGAGTTCTGTATTTACATACAAAAGAGCACTATTTCAAGATTATACTTTTTTATAATACACAAGAGACCCGGTGCACGAAATTCATGCACTGTGGGGCTGTGTGTGTGGGGGGTGTCCCTCAGTCCAGCCTGCGCCCTCTCGAAGTCCAGGAGCCCTCGGGGGATGTCTGACTGGTGGCTTAGGCCAGCTCCCCAGGCCTAAGTTGGACATCTTTAGGGCTGCTGCAGAGGTGGGAGAGGCTTCCGCCACCACTGCTGTGCTCCCCAGTGTAAGCCCGGCTTCTGGGCGAGCGGTGCTCCCCCCTGTGGGATCAGGCCGAAATTGGCTCTCCAATGTCCCCCAAGGGATCCTGGATAGCAAGAGGGCACAGGCCAGGCTGAGGGAGCCCACCAGTGCACAATCGGGGCGAGGGAGAGATGCAGGAGGTTGGCCAGCTGGGGAGGGACTGCGGGAGGGCTCCAGGGCATGTTTGGCCAATCTCATTCAGTCCTGATGGGTGGGCCCCAGCATCAAGCTAACCTACTGTTTAGAGCATCTGCCTCCTGGTGGTCAGTGCACATCACAGTGACTGGTTGACTGATTGACTGTCTGCCCCCTGGTGATCAGTGCATGTCATAGCAAGCAGTTGAGCAGCTGTAGCACATCATTAGCATATTATGCTTTGATTGGTTGAATGACCGACCGGACACTTGGCATATTAGGCTTTTGTTATATAAGGTGGTATGCAAATTGTCCCCTTGACTGGGAGGTCATCTGGGAGTTTGACTAGGGAGGCGGGGCTAGCCGGGGGAAGGGAGGGAGGCCCTGGCTGGCAGCTGGTAGCCACTAGGGACCCTACCATTGCACAAACTGCATGTACTGGGCCTCTAGTCTACACTAATAAAAGACAAAGATGCTAACTGACGGTACCTTTGCTACAGCCCAAGCCAAGCCCACCAGCCAATCAGAGCGACTATATGAAAATTAACCCAACCAAGATGGCGGTCGGCAGCCACGGAGCTGGAGCAAGCAGAAGGCTTTGTTGCCTGGGTGATGGAGGAAACCAAGCTTCCTGCCTGCCCTGAGCCAGCTGTGGCCTCTGCTCATGGCAACAAAGTTTCAATTATAGACAAATAAATCCCAGATACCTGCTTCCAGCCAGCTCCACTGGGAGCTTGGGTGGCTGGGGGCCGTGGCCAGCCTGCAAACAGCCAGCAGCCACTCACCCAGGCTGGCCACACCCTTATGGGGTGAAGGTCCCCGCTGGGGGGCTTAGCCAGCCTGAAACGGCCCTCTGCCCCTCACCCAGGTACCCCAGGGGGGACCCCCACACTGAAGGGGCTGTGGCCAGCCTGCAAACAGCCATCAGCCACTCACCCAGGCTGGCCACACCCTCATGGGGTGAGGGTCTCCGCTGAGGGGCTTGGCCAGCCTTCAAACTGCCATCAGCCACTCACCCAGACTGGCCAGGCACCCCAGCGGGGATCCCACACCCTGAAGGGACTGTGGCCAGCCTGCAAACAGCCATCAGCCCCTTATCCAGGCTGGCCAGGCACTCCTATATAATAAAAGGGTAATATGCAAATTGACCCTAACAGAACAACTGGGAATGACTGGTCACTATGACACACACTGACCACCAGGGGGCAGATGCTCAATGCAGGAGCTGCCCCCTGGTGGTCAGTGCGCTCCCACAGGGGGAGCTCTGCTCAGCCACAAGCCAGGCTGATGCCTGCCAGTACAGCGGTGGTGGTGGGAGCCTCTCCCGCCTCCTCAGCAGCTCTAAGGATGTCCAACTGCAGCTTACGCCTGCTCCCTGCTGGCAAGTGGACATCCCCACAAATTTTTGTACACCGGGCCTCTAGTCTCTCTATATAAAACCCTAATTGCAAATAAATCAAACAGCAGAACTGGTCACTATGATGTGCTCTGACCACCAGGGGGCGCGTGTGAAACATGGTGGGTGTCAGAAGATGGTAGAGTGCGAAATATGGTGGGCATCGGCCGCAGTGGGATGGTGAAGCAGGTGAGTGGGGGTGCCAGACCAAGGCAGGGCGCCGGTTGCTATCATTGTGGCGAGCCTCTGGTGGTTACTAAAAATTCTTTGCTCCCACGCGCCACGGTCCTGCCCTATGCTCACACCTGCTACTGGTGCCAGCCCCTCTCACAGCCGCTGCAGGCGCCGGAGTGGCCGCTCACACCTGCTGCAGGTGCCTGGCGCCAGTCCCAATTGCTCGGCACCATCAGCAGGTGCAAGTGGCGGTTGCCAGCCCTGATTGCCCCTGAGGGCTTCTCCGCCTCCCCCTGCTCCTGAGGGATGATCAGGGCAGCAGCTGCTGCTCAGATCCACTTCTGGTGTGGGCCCCAATTGCTTCATGCCATAAGCGGGTGCGAGCAGGGCTGCAGCAGTCAGCAGGTGTGAGCAAGGCCTGTGCCAGCAGGGCTGCTGGCAGACAGGGGACAGGGGGCCGCGGGAGGAGAGGCCGGGAGGATGGGCTGAGACCCACCCCTGTGCCCACTGTAGCCTCTCGGCCCACAGTTCCTTTCAAGGTGCATGAATTCGTGTACTGGGCCCCTAGTCATACTATATGTATCCTCTGGCAATTTTCTTTTTTTCTCATAGCATTCCATTATATAAATACTATCCTGTTGATGGACATTTTGGTTGTTTCCAATTACAAATTTTACTTTGATGAAATTCTTATACATCTTATACAAGGCTTGATCTCCTTGACAAGTGTGAGTTTAGGTACCTACAAGTATCTTCTTCAACAGCACTAAACTGCTCTCCATAGTGGTTTTATAAGCTTGCAAAGGGAAGTTTAAAAGGCCTCTTATTTCACCACAATGTGTGAAGTGCCCTGCAACTGTAAAAATGTCTTCTCCTATCTACACGCTTCATCAACACTTGATGTTGTCAAAGTTTCCAATACGCTGTATTCCACAATTACACTTGTTTTTACTGGGACAGAGTAGTGTTCTTTAGCTATTTTAGATTCCTCTTTTGTGAATTTCCTGTTACTAACCTTTGTCTAATTTCTGGATAATAAAACTTTGTTGACGGTGAGCACTGCAACTATTTTCTCTAGTCTGTAGTATCTCTTTTAATTTCACTTATGGTGTCCTTGGATGGTCAAAACATTATTTTCCTTTTTGCAAATTTAGCAATGTTTTTACATATATGGTTTTTAATTCAGCCCTTTAAAAATCCTTCTCTACTATCTATCAAGCTTTCCTTGTAAAATGTGTCTATGGCCCATCCGGCGTGGCTCAGTAGTTGAGTGTAGACCTATGAACCAGGAAGTCATGGTTCGAGTCCTAATCAGGGCACATGGCCAGGTTGTGGGCTTGATCCCTAGTGTGTGGCATTCGGAGGCAGTCAATCAATGATTCTCTCTCATCATTGATGTTTTTCTCTCTGTCCCTCTCCCCTCCTCTCTGAAATCAATAAAAACATATTTAAAAAAATAAAATGTGTCTGTATTAGCTTTTAATCAACCCCAAATTGGTTGTTACAGAATATTTAAGATTATGGTACTTTTAAAAATAGAAATAACCAGTCCCCCCAGTGACTTCTGATAAAGTCAGTTTTGCTTTCACTTGAGTGGTTCTGCTCCCACACCCTTTGGCTCCACCCAATCTATTTGTCTACACCTGCACCATCAACAAATTCTAAATCTTCACAGCTGATAGGGCAAGACCTCTATTTGGTTTAACAAAATTCTACTCCAGAACCTATGTACTTTAACATAAGTTGGGATTCTGAGTGAAATTATATTGCATTTGAGGAGAACTGATATTTAGTTCTTTCAATGTTTCTTTTGGTCTTTCAATATCTTACACAATTTTCTCCATAAATGTTTGTGATTTCTAGGTATTACCAGTCATGCCTGCCATCATGTTAGGTTTCAGAGAGCTGCAGCAAAGCCAGCAAGTTGGGTACACATATGTGAGTATGTACAGAGATGCACATCCCCAGACATTAACAAACCTGTGAACTTATACAACTCTCAGCACATTTATTCAACGATTTTCCTACATTAACATAAACCATTTAAAGATCTTTGACTTACTAGTTTGTGCAACAATATTGGTATGTTTTCTTAACATAGCAGCTGCAGTCTCAGAGAGGGTCACAATTACTTCAAGGGCAAGCTGGCGTTGCATATTATTGAGGCTAGTGTCTCCACATAACTACAAGGAAGACATATTTGCATACATTTAGTAGTTTAGTCACTGAAAATAATAATAAACAACATTTACTGAAGTATTTAATTTACCTTTAGACTTAGCTGTAAAGTAGCTTCCAAATGAGGACGCAAATACTTTGGAACAGTATCTGCAATCTCCACAAGGGATTTTAGGACCGAATCATCATTCTGGTAGCACGAATCATTTACAGCCTAGAAAAGATGAAACAGAATGTAAAATTTGGTAATAAAGTACTAAAATAAATATCTACTAAATCCTCTGACCCATGCAGAATACTTCAGTTTTACCTCCTCTAACTCCTGTCTAACCCAGTTTGCAATAGAGTTATTTCTCTTAGGAGGTGTTTTCTTGGTTGTCATGACTAAAGATGGGCAAAAACCAGGAGTATTAGATATCCTCCATTTGTGACACAAATGCTTCCAAGGAATTAACAAGACCTTATCATGCATCTCACAAGATCATAAATATAAGACACTCACAAAATGAACTTACTTATAATTATCAGAACCTGGAACCCAACTCACAAATTATTTTGCACCATTTAAAAAATGTACTGTGAAAAATAACTGTACTGTGATCCCCCCCAATGTAAATATTGTATAAGTCAAAAATAAATACATAATTTGTTTCGTCCAGAACTTTACCATTTCTGGAAATCAAATCATTAACAGTAACAGCAATTTTGATGTTTGACTTGCCAATGAGACCTCTGTATTGTCCATTTTTTAATCTATTGCATTTGTAGAGGTCACTTAAAAAAAAAATCACCGAATCTATGTTTTTTGTGGTAGTCATGCCTTGGCATTTTTATGTAGAAAGCATGCCATTTTTATTATATGTTACTTTCTTTTTACTTCTTATATTCACTTAGAACCATGTATTGATATTTTAAAAACTTGTGCATGTACGTGAGTTATGTTACCTATGCATTTCATTTTAGGACAGAACTAGAGGCCCGGTACACAAAAATCTGTGCATTTTGGAGGGGTCCCTCAGCGTGGTGCGGGCCTAAGCCGGCAGTCGGACATCCTTAGTGCTGCTGTGAAAGCGGGAGAGGTCCCTGCCACCACCGCTGTGCTCACCAGCCACAAGCCCGGCTTCTGGCTGAATGATGCTCCCTTTGTAGGAGTGCACTCACCACCAGGGGGCAGCTCCTGCATTGTGTCCGCCCCCTGGTTGTCAGTGTGCATCATAGGAACTGGTCGTTCTGCCGTCGGGCCAAAACGAGCTGACATCCCCCGAGAGGTCCCAGATTGTGAGAGGGCGCAGGCCAGGCTGAGGGACCCCAACAGTGCACAACTGGGGCAGGGGAAGGATGCAGGAGGTTGGCCAACTGGAGAGGGACAGCAGGAGAGCTCCAGGGCATGTCCAGCCCATCTCGCTCAGCCCCAATCTGCTATACCCCAGTATCAAGCTAACCTATTGGTCAGAGCGTCTACACCCTGGTGGTCAGTGCACGTCATAGCAACTGGTCTAGTCGACTGTCTGCCCCCTGGTGGTCAGTGCCCGTCATAGCGAGTGGTAGAGCACGTATATGAGTTGTTACCTATGCATTTCATTTTAGGACAGAATATGGGAAGTTATAAAATATGTTATTAAAAAATGGGTTTAGGGTCTAACAAGATTAACTGCTCCAATTTACTCAATCTTACTTTACCTTCTCATTTAGGCAAAAGGTATCCTTAACATAATAACTTATCCTTGACATTCAATAATGGGAATTAACCATAAACTATAATACAAACTGCTATAAACCCTCTGGTTAAGAACTGCAGTCTGACTTGGGTTTGAATCATGCAGGATGCCTCCACTTTCCAACACTGTGAACTTGCCAACTTTCTTATCCCCTCCTCCTCAGTTTTTCCTTATGTAAAATGGGCATTTAATTTCATAAATTATTTGGCTGATTCAATGGAAATGACCCATGTGATTACATATTCAATAAGCATAAGTTGCTTATATCATCTGTATTATAGAAAAACTCTGAAACTCTAACCTAAATATTTTAAAAGACTAAGAACCTATCAAAGCTAATAGATGTGAATTCAAAGCGGACAATGATTTGCATGTTTTGTTCACTGCTGTATCCCCAGTGTCTAGTACCAGCACATAGTAGACAATGTATATTTACTGAATAAATGAATGTTAACTCTGATATGCATTTATTAAACTACAGAAACCAATGAAGACATAATTATCACCTATTTTAAATGTTCTTCTTACCTGTAAGAATCCGGGTAACAAGTCTGCAAAATGTTTGAACAGAGCAACATTATGCTCATTTGCAAGGATAAATGCAGCTGTAGCTCTAGCAGATAGTGTTCGGATCTAAAGTGATGAGAGTAAAAAATATCAAACATGAGACATTTTTAATAGATGCAAGTCCAAGTTTTGTTACTAAGGATGAAGTTTTCTCTTGATCAGTAAAACTATTTATATATAGGCTAGTGGCCTGGTGCACAGTTTTATGCACATTGAAAGAAAATTAATTAGAAGAAATATTTTAATATTGCCATTCGCCCTCTCTCTATAACAGAAGTGCCAACCAAATTCATGATTGACAATGATAGATCGAAATACATGTGTGCGATTGGCGCCAGCAAGGGCTTTATATGTATCATGCACGTGCAAGTCAACATTTATTTTTAAATTGCCAGTGGGTGTCATATGTACTGGCCGGTCAGTCAGACATACATACATACAGTCAATCACTTAGCCTTTTATATATACAGATTTGGGGGTGGGGGGGGGGATAAAGAATTATAAATTAGGTCATCTGGAAAACCAGATGGGCTGAGCTCCCAAATAGCGCCAGCCTAGTATTTATATTTTAAAGTATTAAAGACAATCTCCATATACATAAATTCTTTCACAAGTTAGATGTTACCTTAAATTAGGTGTTAATATAAAGGAAATTGAAATGATTTACCGCTGGATGTTCCTGATCTTGCATACATTGAACTAACATCCGTTTGATGACGTCTAAATAGTGCTGCTGTTGGTTCCCAAAAATTCCAGGGAAGTTCCTAAAAAATGATTCAAAGCGTTTAAAAAAAACAAACTACATTACATCTACCCCGGCCAGATAGCTTAGTTGCTTAGAGTGTTGTCTTATTACCCCAAGGCTGTGGGTTAGACCTGCAGACAGAATCAACCAATGAATATATAAATAAGTGGAAAATCAAATCAATGCTTCTCTCTCTCTTTTCCTCTTTCTAAAGTCATTAAGAAACTACATTTCATCTTAGTAAAGTGATAACTAGAATATTTAATTAAATGTCTACCTGACTCAAAAGTATCAATCCTTAAGGTTGAAAAATACCCATCCCTCCAAGCAATCTTCTTTTGGGGTTGGGTGAATGGAAACAAACATAGTGGAGATGATTAGTCTGGGAGTAGGGGGAGACCCAGGTGTACATGACTAAACCACCCATCCCAGCCCAGTGCTTTCTTCTTATGCTCTGTCTCAGTGGGAAGCTAACCTAAAGTGCAGGATGGGACAAGAGCAACCACTCAGTTGCACATAGTAGCTGCAGTAAACGTGTTCTCACACAGTCTGCTCCTAGTCTTGGTGATCCAGGGTAGTTTAAGTTCTGCTCTACTTTAAACTAGGTAAACAAACTAAATACTTTTACTTAATTCTCTACTCTGGATTACTGACATAAATAAATAAAATACATCTGACAAATTAAGGAGAAATGGTGTTAATATCTACCCTTATCCTCTTCAGATGCTCAAGGTATACTTTATTGAAAAATGTATATAATCCTTAAAATTTATAAATCCAATTTTATTTTAAATACAATGAACTGTGTAACATGGCAGGGCAAAATTTTTCTTAATGCAGATAGTTACTGCATTCTAAACTTTGATCATCTGCTCATAGATACACAGCAGTTTATTAAAATATTAGATTTTTATAAAGCTTGACCACAGAAGACCCAGAAAACAATGGGATTCACGAGCCCTTTCTTTCTCTTCAAGATGCCATTACTAAAGCAGCTTTTAAAAGCTACATTTAGTACTGTGTTCATTTCCAAATAAAGCTGAAGAAACCGTTCCAGAATTTTTTTCAGAATAATAAGAAAAGAAAATAAAGAAATAAAGCTTCAGCCCGGCCGGGCATGGCTGTGTTGAGTGTTGATGTATGAGCCAGGAGGTCACAGTTCAATTTCCGCTAAGGGCACATGCCTGGGTTGTGGGCTGGATCCCCAATGTGTGGCGTGCAAGAGGCAGCCAATCAATGATTCTCTCTCATCACTGATGTTTCTGTCTCTCTCTCCCTCTCCGTTCCTCTCTGAAATCTATTGTAAAAAAATATTAAAAAGAATAAAGCTCCAGAGAACCCTCATATACAAATAAGGATCATAATATGAAATAAAAAGCTTTGGTTGTTGTTGTTTTTTCAATTTTACTTCCAACACAAATATAAAGCTTATCTGAAGGCTTTTTCAGAATAAAAAGTTGTTAGACTAGAAAATAAAAATGTGCTTTGAGTATTCATGACATTAACATTTTCAAAAAATTAGATCAAGGCATATACCAGAAAATGTGAAGGGCAGCTTCCCGCAGTCCCATATTTTGAGAGCTGACTGAATCAAAAAGGAACTTCAAACCTTCAGGCCATTGGTTGTTACCATCCTCATCTAAAAGTAAAGAAATCCAGGCATAAAGTGTGTAAGTCAAAACTTCAAATCATTAAGGATGAATCCTTTCATTATAAGCCTCATTCAAAATATATAGCAGAAAATGTCATTTGCTCTATATTAAAAAAACTAACACAATTAGGTTCTTTAACTTAAAAATGACATAATCCTATATAATAAAGAGCTAATATGCAAATGGTTGTCAATCTCATGCCTTAACGGCTCAGACACTCAACAATGGGGAGAGAGGAATGGGGACAGGCGCCTGCAGCTGCAGCCCAGGCAAAGCCGGCCCAGGTACTGGGTGCCTGTGGCCGGCCAGAGGGAGGGAAGCCTGGGTCCCCGGTGCCTGCGACCGGTTGGAAGAGGGAATCCTGGGTCGAGGGTGTGGGGTGAGGCAGAGGTGGTTAGGGGCGATCAGGCCAGCAGGGGAGCAGCTAGGGGCGATCAGGCAGGCAGAGGTGGTTAGGGGCGATCACGCCAGCAGGGGAGCAGTTAGGGCGATCAGGCTTGTAGAGGAGCAGTTAGGGGTGATCAAGCAATCAGGCAGAGGGGTTGGGGTGATCAGGCAGGTGAGCAGTTAGGAGCCAGCAGTCCCAGATTGCAAGAGGCAGTCGGACATCCCCTAAGGGGCCCTGGATTGGAGTGGGTGCAGGCTGGGCTGAGGGACAACCCCCCTCCCCACCCCTGTGCATGAATTTCGTGCACTGGACCTCTAGTAATCTTATAAAAAGCAATTGTTTATATTTGGGTTACACAGCACAAGTATTAAATGGGGTCACTTCTAAGGAGTGGTATTTGGAGAAAAGGCATCACTGTGACTATCTGATTGGTTGAATCTTTGTATACATACTATTGCTATTAAAGAGTTTAAAAAGTAGGCAAAGCTAATATATGGTAACAAGGTCTTGAAACCAAAATAATTATTACTTTCAAACTGTAGATGAAATGGGATTGGGAATCCCAGGACCCAGAGCAGGGTGCTCATGCTTTACAGTTTTAAGTGATACCAGATTTTCTCAATGTATTTACTTCTAAACAAGATTTTAAAATACAAAATTTTTTACTTTATAATAAAAATAAGCAACCACAAAAATACAGTGCATTAGTTAACTCACCATTTATACCCTTACAAAAAATGTAAAAAAGAGTTGTAGAAATTGCAATTGCATTTTTTCTTGTTAAAAATTTCCCACATTATTTGATTTTCTGAAATGAGTGCTACTTAGTGAGATTAAGAAAAATACCCTTCACCTATCTTTTTAACATAAAAATGTTGCTTTGAGCAGTAATAAAATAGCTACTTTAAAGAAAAAATCTATGGGCCTGGCTGCATAGCTCAGTTGGTTAGAGCGTCATCCTGATACACCAAGGTTGCAGGTTTAGTCACTGGTCAGGCACATATAAGAATCAACCAATGAATGCATAAATAAGTGGAACAATAAACTTATTTCTTTCTCTCAAACTAGTAAAAGAAAAACCTTTAAAATATATTTTTATTGATTTTTGAAAGGGAGAGGGAGGGAGAAATAGAAACATCAATAATGACAGAGAATCACTGATTGGCTGTCTCCTGCATTCCCCAGACTGGGGATCGAGCGCATAACCCAGGCATGTGCCATGACCTGGAATCAAATGGTAACCTCCTGGTTCATAGGTCGATGCTCAACAACTGAACCACACTGGCCTGGCAATGAATGAAAAAATTTTAAAATACTATGAAGAGTACACCTAGAAACATTTTGAAAATGTTTCTATTATCAAGTGATTGAGTTAAAAAAAAATGTCACCTATAAAAACTCTTATCTGTACAGTTAGAAAATTTAAAAATAAGCTCTAGCCGGTTGTGCTCAGTGGTTAGTGTCCGTCTTCAGACTGAAGGGTCTCGGGTTCAATTCCAGTCAAGAGCACGTACCTCAAATGCAGGCTCAATACCCAGCCCTGATCACAGCACACATGGGAGGCAACCTATTGATGTTTCTCTCTCTCTCTCTCTCCCCCTCTTCCCACCCCCCCCCCCAATCCCTTCCAATCTCTCTAAATATTAATAGGGGGGAAAAAATCTTTGGGTGAGGATTAATAAAAAAAAATAATAAAAATAAGTAAAAATAGTAATAAAATTTTGAAATAGAATTTTGTAAGCTTTTTTAAAAATTCAAAATTAAGAGTTTCACCCTGATCAGCGTGGCTCAGTTGGGTTGGAGCGTTGTCCCATGCACTGAAAGGCTTCACGTTTAATTCCGGTTGGGCACATATGGGAGGCAACTGATTGATGTTTCTCTTTCCCTTCCTGTCTCTCTACAATCAATAAAAATACATATTAAAAAAACTGTTTCAGCCCTAGTTGGTTTGGCTCAGTGGATAGAGCATCAGCCTGCATACTGAAGGGTCCTCGGTTCAATTCTAGTCAAGAGCACGTACCTTGGTTGCAGGCTCCTCCCTGGCCGGGGCACATGTAGGAGGCAACCAATCAATGTGTTTCTCTCACATTGATAGTTCTGTCTTTCCCTCTCTATAAAAATCAATGAAAAAATATCCTTGATGAGGATTAAAAAAAATTGTTTCAGTGGGTTTTGAATTATTTGTTCTCCCACTTAGCCCTTATCGTTATTTTTTTTTTTTTTTTACTAGCACAACCAACAATGTTCTCCCACTTAGCCCTTATCTTAGTGAGGTATCCTTTCAACCTTTGAAAATGTCACTTAAATGAATTAAGTTTAAAATTACATTTATGAATCTGTCAAAATAATAACAAAGAATATTCTATTACTTTATTCATATTTTTAGAATGACCAAAAAGTCTTGACTGTTGATAAAATGCAATTTTAGCAGTTTTTCCTTTAAAAATATTTTTGGGTATTTTACATGTAAATAGTATTATAGCACATAATTTAGAAATACACAAATATAATAGCAAAAGCACCTGGATTCCACTAATATCTTCTTGTATTGGCAAGTCTATAAAGTAGGCTATACGTCAGACTATGCTTTCAAAACTGTACAATTTTCAAGCAAACTATAACACTAATTCTCACATGATAAACACCAATGGTATGACTGCATCTTACAAACATCTATCATTTTGGCCCTAAATGCAGAATCCATAATCACTCTCATTTTGAACAGAATAAGTGATATTCAGGTACTTGTGACGTTTCCTCTACAGATTCCACTTTAAAAAAAAAAGAATATACACTTGACCCTTGAACAATGTGGTGGTCGGGGTGGTTTAGGGGTACCGACCCCAAACATAATAGAAAAATCACAATTAACTTTTGACTCCCCTAATTTGTCTCAGTATCCACTGGGGAATGATACTAGGACCTGTGTCAGGTAACAAAATTCACAGATGCTCAAGTCCATTACATAAGATGGTGTAGAACAATGCATACAGTCAACCCTCCGTATCCAGACTCCCAACAGAAAATTGCAAAAAAAAAAAAAAATTCCCATATTAAGTGGACCCATGCAATTCAAACCCATGTTGTTCAATGTCAACTGTGTTTTTTCTTTTATAACATCATAATAATAAATGCATTTGCATACAAACCTATTAAATTTCTGGCCAACTCTGCAGCAATATCACAAATTTTCTTCCTCATACTAGACTGTGTTTCCATTTGAATAATCATTAGTAGTTCACTCTTGATGGCAGTCTGGACATCAGAAGGAAGAGTTGGGTAGACTTCATCAAATGCAGAGGACAAAAGACGTCTTAGGAGAACAGCAGCCATTTGTCTAGCCTACAAATAGATAACATTGTTAATAACTTAGTGCAGCCGTGGGCAAACTACGGCCCGGATCCAGCCCGTTTGAAATGAATAAAACTAAAAAAAAAAAAAAGACCGTACCCGTTTATGTAATGATGTTTACTTTGAATTTATATTAGTTCACACAAACACTCCATCCATGCTTTTGTTCCGGCCCTCCGGTCCAGTTTAAGAACCCATTGTGGCCCTCGAGTCAAAAAGTTTGCCCACCCCTGACGACTTAGTGTCTTCCTAAAGAAAAAAATTTCCAACAAACTAGATTCCCTCTGCCATTTATGTATTTCACTACTCTATTTTAATCCTCACCCAAGGATATTTTTTCCATTGATATTTAAAGTAGAGTGGAAGGGAGGGAGGATTGGGAGAGAGAGATGGAAGGAGGGGAAGAGAGAAACATCCTTATGAGAGAGACACATTGATTGGTTGCCTCAGGGGGTGGGGGTCGGGATGGGGTGTGTGTGCAACCAAGAATGTGCCCTTGACCAGGAATCGAACCCGTGACCCTTTGTTCCTGGGGCTGATGCTCGAACCACTGAGCAAAACTGGCCAGGGCTCACGACTCTTTTTACAATTCATTCCAAAAGCATTTTATCAGATTTTGTAAAAAATACATAAAAGTATTTCTAATTACATTACATTAGTAAGAAATTACATTTCTTACTATATAAGAAAATACCATCCAAAAGTATTTTTGTTTATAGCCGAGTAAAAGACCTGAACATATTACATCTCAAATAAGAACACATATCACAGCAGTGATAAACCTGTTTAAAATTCCTGTTTTTAATACAATCTTTGGGGAGAAAAACAAATCTTAATAAAAGCTGTAAATCCTATAATAACCTTTTCCTACTTCTCCATTTGGCACTCACTTAGTATCCGAAGTGCATTTTCCACATAATTGCATAGTCCCAGCCTGGTCTATCTTGTTATATTACTGACTTTTCATTAATCTCTTTAAATAAAATGCTATCAAATCTATTTATGTTTCTGCTTCATTCATGCAAACAAATATTTTAAGTTCCGAACAACATTACAGTTATGAAGTAGCAACGAAAATAATTTTATGGTTGAGTCACAACATGAGGAACTGTATTTAAAGGGCCAGAAGGTTGAGAACCACTGATTTAGATTATCAAAAGTTGACACAAACACCATTCTAAAATTTGATCATATTAAACCCATTAGCCAAACTATACATGTTCTTTTTCTTTTTTTGGGCTATAGCTATTCTTTATCAAATTACTTTGGGACTATGATCAACAAAAAGAGTTAAGTTATACAAATAAAATTTGCCAATTTTTTTCTCCATTTACTTTTCACTGAGAAATCTTTGCATCTGAACTACTTATAACAGACAGCAAACTTATTAAAAAATTTATACTCTAGCCCTAGGCTTGTTTGGCTCAGTTGATAGAGTGTCGGTCTATGGACTGAAGGGTCCTGGGTTCGATGCTAGTCAAGGGCACACGCCCAGGTTGCAGGCTTGATCCCCAGTGGGGGGGAGGGGGGCGTGTGCAGGAGGCAGCCAATCGATGATTCTCTCTCATCACTGATGTTTCTATTTCTCTTTGTCCCTCTCCCTTCCTCTCTGAAATCAATAAAAATATTTAAAAAGAAAAAAATTGTTACACTCTCCCATTAGACCATGATTGAAAAAAAATTATAATACTTTATATATTAGCTCTAGCCGGTTTGGCTCCGTGGATATTCAGCCCTCAGACTGAAGGGTCCTGGGTTCGGTTTCTGTCAAGGGCACATACTTTGGTTGCAGGCTCGATCCCTGGCCCTGGTTGGGGCGCTGCAGGAAGCAACTGTTCGATGTGTCTCTCTCACATGGATATTTCTCTCTGTCTCCCTCCCTCCCTTACACACTTTCTAAAAATCAATGGAAATATAGTCTTGGGTAAGGATTAACAACAAAAAATTTAAACTCTAGCTTCAAAGTGGTTAAAATTCCCATAAAAGTGGCTAAATATTTCCATTCTCACACATACACTGAAAACTATGAAGCCACAATAAAAATGCTGAGGCCAGTTCATAACCATCTAATTCCTAAACCAAATCAAGATTTAGCCTAACCGGTTTGGCTCAGTGGATAGAGCATCGGTCCGCGGACTGAAGGGTCCCAGGTTCGATTCCGGTCCAGGGCATGTACCTTGGTTGTGGGCACATCCCCAGTAGGGAGTGTGCAGGAAGCAGCTGAATCGATATTTCTCTCTCATCGATGTTTCTAACTCTCTCTCCTTCTCCCTTCCTCTCTGTAAAAAATCAATAAAATATATTTTTTTAAAAAAGATTTAAATGGGGTTCAATATAGGTATTTTTTAAAATCTTCACCTGAGGATTATGTTTCCATTGATTTTTAGAGAAAGAGGAAGGGAGAAACATGGATGTAAGAAACAGATCAGTTGGCTCCCACATGTGCCCAGACTGGGGATCAAACCCACAACCTTTTGGTGTAGGGAATGATGCTCCAATCAACTGTGCCACCTGGCCAAGGCTCAATATGGGGTTTTAAAAGTAAAATTCAGTAATTTTTATATTATTCTGTTTTAAAATTTGTGGGAAGCATGCTCTGGCCTTTTCCCTCCCCCTCTTCTTCTTTCCAGGTGTCCTAACCTTTGCCTTTCTTTCCCCTAAGCTCCAAGGGGCCTTTTGTTTCTGTAATGTTCCCTGAGACTACACAGCCCACGTGGCTCACTTCTGCTATCTCTGTAACTTTTTAAATAAATTTTCTCTTATAATTTGAAAAAAAAAATTGTCTTGTAGCTAACTTGCATCTATCTTCAAGCATTAAAATAGCCAACTTTTTAGAGATTTAAGTTTGTTGTTCATATTTGACATTCATTTTGAATTAAAGAATATATATATTTTAAAAAGGTAAAGAAGCATCTTTTGTCATCTACTTTAAGAAATCAGGGCATATTTATACTCTTTTCTCAGCGTTATCAGAGAATATTAAATGGCCAATTTAAAGTCAGGTGTATTACTATATACAACTTGAGTGTGACTTCCTTTTCACCATGTGTTAATATAAGCATTTAACATATAATGTGACCATTAATAAAGCAGTCTTACATTACAAATTCTAAGAGCATGTCACAGATAGAGTAAGTTTTCTAGATTTGGGTATTTTGACGCTATGTCCAAAATAAACAGGATATTCAATTCACATTCAATGTTATACACAGGTATTACTTTTAGGAAGAAAGAAATGAGCTAAAAATTCATAGAAAAGCAGTAAGAAACTATAAATTTGATTTGGTAACTAGGTAATTTGCTAAAAGCCATGATTTTAAAAGGACTCTACAAAATGTCCTTTATTCCCTAAACATCTTTATAGTATTCTTCTCCATTTAGAGATAGCTATAAGGATAATATTTTAAAAGATAGATAAAAAGTATTTTTTTCAGAATCATTTAGCAACACATTAAAATACTGAAAGAATTAAATTCCTTCCTTTAGAATGAACTGTCTTGAGCTAGAAAATTTTGTATAGCCACGGAAATCACTTATATTTAATAATTTTAATGTAATTAACTTTTAAATATCCTGGACACATCATCTACATGGGGGACACATCATCGTCATTTTTAATACGAGCACTTAAAAAAAGTTTTAACTCCAAAACAGTTTCTTAGCAAATAAGTTCAAAGTTCTGGTAATGTCTGCACAGTAACAGTAGTTTTCACTATCCACTCTGACCACCATCTAATACCCAACTTATCTTATAAGAATATATTCTCGCCCTGGCTGGTTTGGCTCAGTGGCTAGAACATTTGATTCCGGTCAAGGGCACATGCTTGGTTGGCAGGCTCAATCCCCAGTAGGGGGCATGCAGGAGGCAGCCAATCAGTGATTCTCTCTCATTATTGATGTTTCTGTCTCTCCCTCTCCCTTTTTCTCTGAAATAATTAATAATAATAATAATAATAATAAATATATTCTCAAATATTATAGTACCTCCTCAGCAGCTGTAGTATTTCTGATGGCCTGTAAGAGGAATGTGATCTTTGACTGGCCTGGGATATTCTCATAAGTTTCCTACATGAAAAAGAAAAACATGAAAGGTTAGAATATAGTTAGAAAACATCATGAGTACACCAGTGAAAAGAAATGAAGGCTGGGAAAGATCCATGCATGGGAAGTCATATAATCTAGGCCTGGTGTTAAAATTTCCTCCTGTACCATAAAATATACTTCAGATAGGTTAGGGAAAAAAAGATGTTCAAGGAGTTATTAAATTCCTTTCTACCATTATCTCTCAGATTTTTTTTGACGTGTACACATTTCCCCAACTTTTGATCCCCTGATTAACAAAACTCAAGGCCTATGAAGGTATTAAGTGTGACTTGAGCTACCATGTTGCAAAGTAAGTACTCACTATCTCCTTAGATCATGGAAAACTGGTTACCTTGTCATCAACATTTTTAGATCAGAAGATATGGAACTGGTTCAAATGAGCACTACTTACAACTATCAGATGAAGCAAGTCAGAGAAAGGGAAAGTGTTCAAATTCTTTATGCTACCTTTTTTTTTCAAGAAAGGATTATACTAAAACCATATTACACACAAAAATACATGCATACAGTCAGAAGAAATTTGACCAGGAAACTTTATTAGATTTTGAAATCTAGGTTTTGAGACTCAGGACATTTCTCTCCTTTTCCATTAACAATGTCAAATGAGAGCAAATTGGTTAACAATAAAAACCAAGTTGACACCAAAAGACAGATGGTCAGAGTGGATCAAAATACAGGACCTAAGTATATGATGTTTATAAAATTAAGTGTAAGTATTATCCATATGCACGTATAAAAATTCTAACAATAGCAGTCTTTTACAATGGAAAAAAAATCATTAATTTAAGTACACTTTGAATTGTTTTTCCCAAGAAACCTCTTTAAACTGATTGACTAGAATTGGCAATAAGTATAGACAGTCCATTCTGATCTATCCACTTCAAGGGTATAATGTAGATAACATGTTAATTTTATAGCACTCTAAGATAAAAGAGCTTGCCTGCTGTCTACTAGCTACCACCCCAAAAAATGTACCTGGTTTCTCTGGACAGAAGTGAAAAGGACAAAAATGGGAAAACGGTGTCTCTGAATCCACATCTACGTTACACTTTTTATTAAGTGCTTGCTCCATGGCATCCTGGAGATAATGACATATCCTATCTATACTAATAAAAGGGTAATATGCTAATTAGGGCAGATGTCTTCCAGACGACCATCCAGATGTCCTTCCGGACAAATCCTCAGCAGCTGTCTGAGGCGCAGGCAAGCCGTGGATGGCGGTTGCTGCTGCCCAGGGCTGGCCCTAGGCTCAGGCAGCCATGGTTGCTGCCAGTGGCAGGAGCAGTGGGATGATGGGGGTGGTGCCTTCCCCTCATTGGCCAGGTAGCCTCTGGCAGAGGGAGGCCAGACTGAGGCTTAGGCTGGGGGCTGAGGCAGAGGCCATGAGGGGCAATCAGTCAGGCAGAGTGGTTAAGGGCGATCAGACAGGCAGGCAGAGTGGTTAGGGGCGATCAAGCAGGCAGGTGAGCAGTTAGGAGCCAGCGGTTCTGGACCCCTCGGGGGATGTCCAACTGCCAGTTTAAGCCCAATCCTGCAACCGGTAGTTGGACATCTCCCGAGGGGTCCCAGATTGGAGAGGGTGCAGGCCAAGCTGAGGGGCTCCCCCCCTCCCCAGCCTCTAGTCCTGTGTAATAAAAGGCTAATATGCAAATTGACCAAGTGGTAGAATGACTGGTCGCTATGATGTGCACTGACCACCATGGGGCAGACACTCAATGCAGAAGCTGCCCCCTGGTGGTCAGAGTGCCCCTCAGACAGAAGCCGGGCTCACGGAGGGCGAGCGCAGCGGTGGCGGGATCCTCTCCCGACTCTGCGGCAGCGCTAAGGATGTCCCTCGAGGGCTCCCAGAAGGCGAGAGGGCGCAGGCCAGGCTGAATGCACGAATCTTGTGCACCAGGCCTCTAGTAAGGAAATAAGGCTCAGAAATTAAATGACTTGCCCAAGGTAGACCTTGATCTTCTGAGGCTAACTGCACTCAAAATCTCCTTGGCACTAAATGCTCTCCGAGTTTCACCCTCAGGGGATGACTCCACCAAACAATCAGTTCTATTTATACAGCACTACATAGTTTTCAAATTTCTCAAACATTATCTCAATCTAGGGAAGAACAAATTTGGTAGAAAGAATTCAAAATCTTTTGATAACCGCACATTCCTCTCAAGTATACAAGCACACAGAACATAACAATGCTGAAAACTGTAGCACCAAGTAGTCACAGCTGAGAAGATGGCTTGAATTTATTTATCCAGAAATGAGATAATTTATGTAAAAATATTCAAAAGATTGCAAAAATAGATATACTTTGAGATTTTTCACTTAATCTTTATCAAAGCAACTCAAAAACCAATATAGCCTTTTCATTTATACACTAAAAATGTCTTTTTATTCCTTGTACCTTGGCTTAGCCCCTGGTGTACTGTAGATGCTATAAATGTTAACCCTTAAATCTCCAATGGCTAAATCAAGTTTTGGCCAAAAAGTCTTTATTAGTATACCACTCTCAGAAATTCTGTTATAAATTTTGATGATCTCTGACCTTGGCCACATTGAGACTATCAGTGTGAGTTAGCCTATGTTAATTCTAATAGAGACTTATAAAGATTAAGTCAAATATTAAACTCTATTTTATTATAAATTAGAAATCAAGGAGGAACAGTTCAGTATGAGTGACATCTGACTCCTGAGAGAGGTTTCTCCCATTTGATCTGTTCTACTGTAGCAATTCAGATATAGTATTACAAAACATGGGTCAAGGATAATAGTTTGAAAAGGATAATAGTTTGATAAAAAGAAAATAGCTTTAAAATCTGGTATAACTTTTTCACCTTGGTCGGGTGTCTCAGTTGGTTGGAGCATCATCCGGTACACCAAAATATGGTGGCTTGATTCCCAGTCAAGGCATGTACCCAGGTTTCGGGTTTGATCCCTGTTCAGGGTGCATTCGAGAGGCAACCGATTGATATTACTGTCTCACATCAATGTCTGTCTGTCTCTCTCTCTCTCTCTCAAATAAAAACAATTTTTAAAAAGTGCCCTCAGGGGAGGGTTTAAAAAATTATTTAAAAAACCTATATAATAAAAGGCTAATATGCAAACTGGTCACTATGATGCGCACTGAACACCAGGGGACAGACACTCAATGCAGGAGCTGCCCCCTGGTGGTCCAGTGTGCTTCCACAGGGGGAGTGCTGCTTAGCCAGAAGCCAGGCTCACGGCTGGTGAGCACAGTGACGGTGGCCAGAGCCTCTCCTGTCTCTGCTACAGGCAGGTGGTAAGGAGCGAGTGAGGGGTCCCAGACTGAGACAGCCCCGGACTGCAGGCTGGGCTGAGGGACCACCCCCTCCCCTGCCACCCCAGTGCACAAATTTCGTGCACCAGGCCTCAAATAAATAAATAAAGCAAGCAAGCAAGCTAGCTTTTTCTTAGTCTAAACAGGCTGGGTCCCACAAAGGCAGGTATGGTATCTTTTCCTCTTTGTATTCCTAGAACTTAGCACATTAGAGTATGAAGAAAATTTCTAAGCAAATATAAAGAAAACTTCTAAGACTATTCCTAGCACTAGCCCAGGCAAATTCAATGTCACCAGTGTTGTGGCAAATGAAATTTCAACTCCATTTGTTCTACATGCACAATTGCACAATATAAGGAAATTTCACCTCCCACCTTTCCTGCCCACAAAGGAGAAATGCTAACAGACTTATCTCATCAAGAGAGAAAACTTTTACCCAGTAAACACCTGGGTTCCTCAAAAATCAGATGTAGTTTTCAATGTTACCCTGCTTCAATTCAAATCTTACTATGTTGCCCTCCTTCAATTCAAAGTTCTATATTAGAATCAATGAGGTATAAAGTCAATGGGAAAAGTTAATTAGCCCTGGCCAGGTAGCTCAGTTTGTTGGAGCATTGTCCCGCACACCAAAAGGTTGTGGGTTCAATTCCCAGTCAGGGCACATATCTAGGTTATGTGTTCGACCCCAGCTGGGGTGCACATGGGAGGAAACCGATCAGTTTCTCTCTCTCTCAAAAATCAATTAAAGGAGAAACCAAGATGGAGGCATAGGTAAACACCGGAAATTGCTGCCTCCGACAACTTCAAAAATACAACGAAAAGACAAAACAGACATCATCCAGAACTACAGGAAGGCTGGCTGAGTGGAAATTCTACAACTAGAAGGAAAGAGAAAAGCACACTGAGACTCAGAGGAGGTGCGGAAGTAAAGTGCAGAGGTACGGAGGCTCGAGCGCGCGCAAAGGGGCTGGCACCTGAGGACGGGGCTGTCTTTTTGAATCGGGAGGGAATCACAAGCTCCCGACTGCTCTGAACTCCAGTTCCGGAAAGTCTCTGGGGACCCAGGACTCATGCGGGGAGAAACTGGACTGTCTGGCAGCAGGCAGAACTCCGAACTTGAGGGCGGCTTTCCCTCAGAGGTGCTTGCAGCAATTACCGGGACACTGAGACGCAGGGTCCCTTAGGGCAGGGCTGAGGATCAGCCATAGCTGCTTGCTCCGCCCTGTTGATTCCGAGACCCCGCCCCACCCAGGCTGCAGCAGAAGCTTTTGCATATGAATGCCCTGGCCCTTTGCAATCTAAAAATTACCCAACAAATTGTAGCTGGGCCAGATAGACCCAGAACTTCCAAGAGAAGGCCCAAGGCCCCACAGCAGCTTGCATTGCTTCACAGCTGGGCCTCATCTGGGCACCTCCAAACCCCAAAGAAGGAAGGGGAATCTGCAGATCTCTTCGTAGCTCCTGCTGGGTAGCCTTAGGCAGAGGCTACATTAGCACCTCCTTAGATCCAAGAGCCAGTGTACCCAGTGGTCAGAGTGGGACCATCCAGATTACAACTCCGCAGATCCATAAGGGACACACTCAGGGGGCAGACTCAGTGAGCACCAGAGCCCCACTGAAGCAAGTCTTGCCCCAGAAGGGTGTCTTCAGCACAGAAGTTCTCCCACTGCAGACACAGCTGATTCTCACAGCCAATTGGCCTGGAGGTCAATTCCTCCTAGTGATACCTACAACAATCAAGGCTTAACTACAACAAGACTGTGCACAAAGCCCACAAGGGGGTGCACCAAGAGTGTCCACCTCAGGTAATTGGGGAGGCTGAGCCACTGGGCCCTATAGGACACCTGGCACACAAAGCCACTCTACCAACACAGGGAAGCATAAAATATGCGGAGACAAAGAAACAGGTCACAAATGACAGATATGGAGGAAAGCAAACTACTGGATATAGAGTTCAAAACCACGGTTATAAGGTTTTTCAAGAATTTTCTGGAAACCGCCGATAAATTTAGTGAGACCCTGGAGAATATGAAAAAAGACCAACTAGAAATTAAGCATACACTGACTGAAATAAAGAATAACATACAGAGATCCAACAGCAGACAAGAGGATCCCAAGAATCAAGTCAAAGATTTGAAGAAACAAAAAATACCCAACCGGAAAAGCAAAAAGAAAAAAGAATCCAAAAATATGAAGATAGTGTAAGGAGCCTCTGGGACAACTTCAAGCGTACCAACATCCAAATTATAGGGGTGCCAGAAGAAGAGAGAGAGCAAAATATTGAAAACCTATTGAAATAATGACAGAAAACTTCTCCGACCTGGTGAAAGAAATAGACTTACAAGTCCAGGAAGTGCAGAGAACCCCAAACAAAAGGAATTCTAAGAGGACCACACCAAGACACATCATAATTAAAATGCCAAGAGCAAAAGACAAAGAGAGAATCTTAAAAGCAGCAAGAGAAAGAAACTCAGTTACCTACAAGGGAATACCCATACGACTGTCAGCTCATTTCTCAACAGAAACTTTGCAGGCCAAAAGAGAGTGGCAAGAAATATTCAAAGTGCTGAATACCAAGAACCTACAACCAAGATTACTTTATCCAGCAAAGCTATAATTCAGAATTGAAGGTCAGATAAAGAGCGTCACAGATAAGAAAAAGCTAAAGGAGTTCATCACCATCAAACCAGCATTATATGAAATGCTGAAAGGTATTCTTTAAGAAGAGGAAGAAGAAAAAGGTAAAGATAAAAATTATGAACAGCAAATACATATCTATCAACAAGTGAATCTAAAAATTAAGTGAATAAAAAATCTGATGAACAGAGTAAACTGGTGAATATAATAGAACCAGGGGCATAGAAAGGGAGTGCACTGACAGTTCTTTGGGGGAAAGAGGTGCGGGGGTGCAGGAAGAGACTGGACAAAAATCGTACACCTATGGATGAGGACAATGGGAGGGATAAGGGCAGAGGGTGGGGTAGGAACTGGGTGGAGGAGAGCTATGGGGGGAAAAAAAGAGGAACACCTGTAATAATCTGAACAATAAAGTTTTAATGAAAAAAAATCCTCAGATGAGGATTAAAAAAATTAATAAAAATATACAATCTATGCATATGATTGATAAAATACTTATTTCATAAAGAAATGTCATCATGGCCCTAGCTGGTTTGGCTTAGTGGATAGTGTTGGCCTGTGGACTGAAAGGTCCTGGGTTCAATTCTGGTCAAGGCACATATCTTAGTGGTAGGCTCAATCCCCACCCTGGCACGTGTAAGAGGCAACCAATCGATGCATCTCTTCTCACATTGATGTTTCTCTCTCTCTACTCACTCCCCTCCACTCTCGGTAAAAATCAATAGAAAAAATGTCATCGGGTGAGGATTGATAACAACAAAAAAATGTCAACTCTGGATTACTTGTCTATTATTTATTCAATTGTTCATTCATGTTATTATATTTTGAAACAAGGACATTTAAATCATTTCTTCAAATAGTGTAAACATATTTAAAGTTAAAGAGAAAAATCCTTGAAGATTTCTAAATAGAAGATATAGAGCCTATTAAATGGTTTATACAATGGCAAAAATTTAAAACTTTTTAAAGTTTTGAAGCTCTTCAATGATTTAAATAATTATAATAAATGAATCTTTTATTGTACTTAACTTCCTATTTGAATATTTAAAAAGTCACCTTAGTCAACAGTTTGGTATTTATGTGTCAACTAAGTATTTTTATTTAGATTGAGTAAATTACAAAGATATTTCCTGAGCCCTGGCCAAGTCCTTAGTTAAAAAAAAAAATTCTGTATTTGTTATATCAGGCTGTGATAAGAGGCTCATTTCATAATGCAAAAAAAGGGGTATTAGGTATCATTATGTGCAGCCATTTCTTTTTTCAAATAATATTTTGCTTTCATTACAGATTAGCATAATACTAAATTATATGGTGCCAAGGAGCTTCCCCTCTAACACTTTTTTCTGTGTCAAATTAAGAAAATCCTGTATTATATTTCACATATTAATATATACCAAGGATATACTAAAAAAGTAAAAATATATTTGAATGTTTTCACTAGGAATAAAGAGACTAAGAGAATAACAGTACTTATTTTCAATTGTTCTATATGAGAAAATTTACTGAATGCTGCTATCCCCAAAGTGATGGAAGTGATAAAAAAATTTACAACAGGCACCAACTGGAATTCAAGCTGAACCAGACACATATTTTTGTTCTACAGAAGAGAGATTCCCCGCTAGGCTTGACAATAGAGACTTAAGCAACTAGAAGGAAGAGGCAGAATTAAATTAGCTTGCTAATTACAATGCTGTTCTGCTTTGCAACACATGGAAATGTCTATTATGGGTTGGGATTAAGAACTTATTTCTGTGAAAAATTACTTCTAGAGTTAGCAGAAAGCATTACAATATTTTAATAGGCATCGTCACATCCCAACGACAAGAGTACAAGCTGACGCAACTAATAAATGCATATTACTTTTAAGGACAAATACTTTTAAGTATTCTACAAATAAACCTGGCAAAGTCTGAAAAGATAGGAATACATTTACTTCTATGTACAGCACTGTTTTCAAGAGCAGGACACTGGAAATCTCAATGTTCATTCATAGAGGACTGGTTGCATAAATAATACATCCATGGGATGGAATTCTACATAGCTGCTTTAACAAAATCTCTTATGTGACAATGTGAAAAATACTGAGTGAAATAGTCAAGCTGCACAATAATGTGTATTAAGAGCCCTTTCATGCAAAAATGAATATATATATACTATAGTAAGTTTTTTCAGGGGTGATTCACAAGACACTTAAAAGTGGTTACCTTTAGAGAATGAGAAGAAACTATTTGCACCCCTTGAAATTTTACCCCGAACAGGTATTCAATGTATAATAAATAAATAAAAAGTCATTAGGATCAAGTTAGTAGTTGTTTAAAGAACTGAACGTTCAGTGTATTTACTTTGCTAATTATAAAAGCGCAAAGTGGCCCGGCTGGTGTGGCTCAATGGTTGAGCACCGACCTAGGAACCAGGAGGGTGACGTTAGACTGCGGTCAGGGCATATGCCGGGGTCGCAGGCTTGATCTCCAGTAGGGGGTGTGCAAGAGGCAACTGATTCATGATTCTCTCTCTGAAATCAATTAAAAAAACACACACACATTTAAAAACCACTAAGTGTAACCAGCATTGTTAAATCTATTCACAATCTATTAACAACACTGTGAGACAACTATAAATCTCGTGAGTCCACAGGACCTGTCCCCCGATTTCATTAGCTAGATGACATAGAAATGTCTATTTACTCTGTAAAAAGATCTGCATGAACATCCTTCACCGAATCATCGAAATCTTCCATCACAAGGTGGCAAAGAACCCCCGTCTGTAACCAAGTTTGGAGAGAGCTCCTGATAACGCGCTTCAGAGAAAGTTTCTGCCCTTCCCTGGAGGCGTCTCAAATCAACTGTGGTCCCCACACTGACAGGACACCCCCAGCCTCACACTGAACCACGGGTGCCTCGCTGCTCCTTTGTACATGAACGGGCAATACTACTGCTGTCTTTGGAAACCATAGCACAGCTCCACATTTTGGAGGCCAGGAGCCGGAGGTGGTTAAAAAAAAAAAGAAAAGAATGATTCAGGTGCGATTTAATGAAAATGCAAGACTTAAACATATGGCACCGGCCCAGGGGAACAACGGAAGCCCCAGGACACCCCATGTGCGTGATGAGACCACAAATCTCTAGAGAGCAAAGATTTCTCCGAGGGCCGAGCAAAGGAAGGCGGACGCTGCTGGGAAAGAAACCCTAGAGGTAACTTCACAAGACCCTGGGAGAGGTGGGGAATCCAGCCTCCGACATGAGGGGCGAGACAAGAGAACGAGGGCTACGTGGAAACAAGTGGGAAGAAGGCGAAAGGGCTAGACATACATTCCAACAGCGGAGGTTGGGAGCCGAGGGGCAGATGGTAGCTGAGAGCGAGGGGGCAGCAGAGCAGCGGAGCGGGTGGGCCAGGGAGCCGCCAGGGTTCGGGAGACGGAGGAGGTCGGGCTGGGTGGACGCCGTGGAGAAGCGCGAGCAGGTTCCCACGGGGAGAGAGCGGGAAAGGGGTGAGGGGAACCCCGGGGCCCGCCCCACACCCCACATCCCTCCCCGCCGCCCGGCTTCCCCATCTGGGCGGGGGCAGTATGTCAGGAGCGGCCCCACGTGTGTGCGAGGGGCGGCGGAAGGAAACCG